AACGTCGTGGAGTTCCCATCACGTATTTCTCAGACTCACCTGCCTATCCTGCTTACAGATGTCTTGAAATATAATTAAAATTGTGAGTGCAGAACTAAAACTGACTTCTGCCAGGGAAGAAAATGTGCTGAACAGCCAAAGTATTTAATTACTGCTAACGAACCTCAGGAGTGTTTACTTGTGGATGTGTCTTCGTGTAATGACGAAGGATTGGCCGTGTGGTGTTCATCCCAAACGTACCCATGAGATGTGACAATATGGCAGGTAAAGTCACGGCAGCCAATTGATCACTGAGATTTCACCCAGTAAGGTCGGGCTAACCTATTGGACTCAATGTGGGAGGAGTGACTGCAACATTAACTTTCTCACTGCAGGCAACGTCAAACACTGAAAGGGAGCTCCAGTCATGCACATGCAATTAAAATAGCTAATTAAATAGGTCTAAACTCTTTTAACAATTTTCAGAAATAAACTCAAATGAGGCCAGGCATGCAACATTTTTAGTACCACCACTCTGTCCTACTTTGTATCTCTGCCAACCTGAAACGTTATCCTTGATTATAAAACAGCATTTATCTATTCAGAGGCCAACAATTAGGTAAAATTCTTCCATATTGCTGTCTTATATTCAGAATTTGGAAGGTCTGGCTCAATAGCGCAAGATATTAATCAACTGATAGAATTCAAAGAGATGAATATTTCAGGAATAAATCTACAGCACATCCTATTCATTCCAAGAATTCATTCTGCACCATGATTTATTTCATTCTGCCTACCACTCAGGTACACGTGTGTCACAAGGACTCCAAGTAAAAGAGTAACAGTCCTCATTCTGTGAGATCATAAATATAGACAGAGGACACTCCAAGCATGGAGTCCAACCAAAGCTCCAGGCTCGAGCTAATCCACTTGCAGAGGGAAAATTAGACCCAAAAGACCAAATCAAACCAGCACAAATCAAAGGTAGTCACCACTGAGTGCTGCAATAGAGATTACAATACTGACAGCTTAGATGCTATCATGTTAAATAGTTGTCCTAGTCATTATTTCTAATTACTTGCCTCCTGTAAATTATCAGGTGGGGAACATCCTCATTTTCTCCTTGGGGGGCACGATTTTCTCCCACACCATGTTATCAGCAGTGGAATTACTACTTCAGAAGTAGCAATCTGATTGAGCAAACTGATGATCAGCTGAAGTCGCATCAACGTCTGTCAACACTAGAGGGTGAAGTCATACATCAGCAAGACCAGGTGGACACGCCAGCTCTCTCAGTCTGGCACCCAGAGCTGGATCATCACACCTTGATTGACTGCTGTCCCCTAAATCACTGTCTTCCTTAATACTTTTAAAATAGTTGATACCACTGTATCTCTTATTCAAATACTCTGTAGAAACTATTTTTTTCCAGGAGTACAATATATATTACGGAAGTACTTATATAAAGGAGTCTACAGATGGTCTTTAGTTTTTTCCAGTAATAGTTTATTGTTATATAACTTCCTTCTGCCCCTCTGGCCAGTCGACAACATGGAAGATGTGCAACCAGAGCCAAAGAGCTTGAGATGCACAGAACACAGTGCATGTTCGAGGAGAGCTGAACAAGGGAAATTTGAGAGTGGTGCAGTCAAGAGGCAACAACCCCGTCCTCCTTCATCAGCACCATGACCAGCGCTAACCCCAACCCAAGGCCACTACAAATCTGTCATAATCAAAACCCTGTGCAAGAGAAGCAGCATCCTGAATTTGTCCCAAAAACTGAAGTTACGTGTGATTGGTTCATTCACAGACACATGACCCAGTAAGCACAGGCTATGACCCAACAGATCCCTAGTGCATCCAGCACCTCCAGCCCTATTTCTGCTGTGCTCACGAAAACATTTCAGGAACAAGTTGTTAGTGAGATCACACTTCTTGGTCACACATCATGAATGCACTAAAATAATATCTGAATTTATTCAGGAACAGAATTCTTCTTTGCAGAAATGTGTCATATGGAGGTGGTACGATGGCTTACTGGGTAGTGATGTAGCCTCGCGCCTTTAGGGTTGTGGGTTTGATTCCTGCCCCTGGCGCGCTGTGTGTGTGCGCATGTCCTCCCAGTGTTCGCGTGGGTTGCATCTGGGTCCAAGAACATGTGATTATGTAAACTGGTGTCTCTCTCTCTCTCTTTTAGTGTGCGGCCCTGCTATGGATAGCCATACATTCAGGCTTTGCCCTCTCTATCTTAGGATGGATTCCAGAAGCAGGACCCTGCATTGAATAAGCAATTATCAAAAATAAATGGATGCCACAAGGGCACCTCTCAGACCTACTACACAGAGGTAGTCTATACAGACAACTCTTATATGCACGTATACAGAAACAGACTGTTACCCCAATGTGTACAGCAGCAAAACCACATTCAACTAATGAGTAAAAAAGATGTCCAAAATGACCATTTCCAGATTGTGACACGTACTAGCTATGAACCTTATGTAAAAGAAATTACATAATGAAAGTGATCACATGAATGAAAATGTATGATCTACAATTAATTTACACTATACTGTTACAGATACATTGGAATAAACAGGAAACAGTATGTTTTGCAAAATGTGTATATACATTTATATATGTATATATAATTATTATTTACTTATTATTATGTGTATATATATATATATATATATATATATATATATATATATATATTGTTTATGTATTGTATATTTATATTGACATATATATTGTGGTGTAATCAATATTTTAAAAGAACACAAGAGATAAAACACACAAAATACATGAGGAGTAAAGTTGAAATAAAGAACTTTTCTTATTTATGGTGAATTTGTTTAATCGCTTCTCCAAGTGAAAACCTTTTTGCACTTGGTGTGATCGTCAACCAGTTATGCTCACATGAAACCATATTACAGCCAAAGACATTTAGTTTCCTCAGAAAAAAACGCAGACATGCTCCATACATTAACTCCTGGCCTTTTCCCTGCGGTGAGCGCAGGCGAATTTACACATTCGTACATTGCATCAGTATTTCAAACCCACTTTCTAACACCATGTTCCTTGTTACACTGATCTCACTATATGCAATACTCATTTCCTACGGCTTGGTTAACTTCAATTGGTAATATATATAATACACGTGACATCGCTGTTAAAGAATTTTTAAAAGAAACTTAATACACGACTAATTGCCTGACGCATTCACCCATCTGCAGTCTGGATACCACACAAATGTCACTTTTTAGATTTCGCCTATTACGTCATTAATTTATATACCAGCGTTCCTGACTCGCCACCTGTAAGGTAGCTTAGGGGTGAAGTTGAGATGAGCATCTACTGTATGACATTTCTTATTAAATCCAGCATACCAATGCAATCAAACTTTCTGCTTGGAAAATACAGAACGCCTGTCCGTCATTAAGAACTATTAGGAAATACCCTTGTATAAGTACTCGTTCAATGACAAGAAGGTGTGTAGTGTGCAAGAGGAAAATACGCTTCCCGGGACTGATCACTGGCATGCGACCTCCACTTACCAGAAAACCTGCGGATTTCTCCCGGTTTAAACGGTGATTTTCCCCCTTAAATCTTCTCCTGCCGCTGCAGCAGCTCTGCCCGCTCACCCTTCCCCAGATGCCCGCATAATACTACACACGAATGCCCAGCTGGACGAAGTAGTGATGTATTAGTGATCGGTGGGAAAATGCATCCGTACAAAATACGCCTCTTCGTCCTTCTTGTTCTTTTTTCTTTTTCTTTTTTTTTTAAAGATCCGTTTATTTAAAGGCGCTACTTGATCAGCGGTAATCCTTCAAGATAAAAACACGTGGCCAATAACACAGACTTCTTCCTCTATTCGTTGACATAGGTGCGTGTTTCGGACGGAAAGCCGGGATGCGGCAGACTGGCCGCCTCTCTCACAACTGTACATAGAAACATCAGCGCAGCGATTTCTACGCTCACCTCTCCACAGCGTGCACGCCACCGTGAACGCGCAAAAGGGCTCCCGAGCACACGCTGCGGGATCCAAGTTGGCTGGTGGCTGAGCGAGGCACGTTGTGTGAACGACTATATAAGCTATATATCTCCTATTATGAAAAACTTATGAAAACAAAAGTTATAATATTTACTGTAGTTTATGCTTTCCGATAATCGTTGAACGTGCGTTTTGTATGAAATGTTGGTAATATTTCCAGTCATCAATAAGTCTAGTCTATGTAGCTCAGTAAACTCACTATTAAATATTCAATTGGGCTTAAAAATGCTACGCGCCTCTCGGCAAACTTCACTGCTCGTTTCGCTAGGTCTTGGGCAATGGGTGCCCAGGAGTGCTTGGTCGGCGCTGCCTCAGAATATAGCCCCCTAGGCAGCCGCCTATGTCGCCTGTAGAGTACATGGGCCTGTGGGTGCGCGGGCGTTATCCGAAATTGCAAAGTGGAGCACAAGCATTTTTGGAATAGAATCATCGCCATGTAGCCTAGAAATTGTGGTTTCATAGGCCCATTAATTGCATTGATAAAATATGTCTAAAGGGGAAGGGGAATCGTATTTAATTTTCATAAATATTTATTATTTGACATACTACAGACAAGTATCAGAATATGGAGTTACAGAATTACTTTGTTAGGAGACGCTTTTACCCAACGCAACACACTAAACTTGCAAATCACAACTGCTTTGGTATATATATTTGGTACAATACTGCAAAAATTTAAATACTTCGCAGAACTTTCCTTTTAAGCTTGATTGTGGTCAAATTAGCCTTTTGCAGTAATGTACAATTCGGCCATCTAGGGGATAATATTAAAACTGCATCATGTCCTTGCCTGGGTGCAAAAAATAGGCCTAGCCTACCTAGTTCACTTCAAGCTTCAAAAGAAAGTGCGTTAATGCTTATATATTTTGGTAAATAAAAGTTATAGTTATTAATTTGGGGAAAAAAAGCACAAAAGGCAGTGGAAATAGCTTCAACTCTTCAACTAAAAGCAAATTTGAAAAGATATTTTTATGGTTTTTATTATATGAAAATACAAACATCTGTATGTCAGAATTACTGCTACGGAAACATCCACAATCTCCACAATAAGCCTCTTTGTCTATTATAATCTGAAAAAATACCAGTTGGATCCAGGGTGTTTAATGACGTCTTCATGAACAGGGCTGAAGTAGGTGGAAAACTGGCAAAGAACAACAGTGCTGATCAGCACTGAAACGAGTGAAAATGGGTGAAAACACAAGGGTGCAAATGGCGCTACATCGAGAGAAAATAAAAGCAATGGTTCTGATCAGCGTCCAAACAGGAAAACGGCTGGAAACAACAGTGCTGGACTGAGTTAAAACTGATGAGGAGCAGAAGTGCTGATCAGCGCCGACGTGAAAGCGAGCGAAAATAGAAACACAGCTATTTAGCATTTCATCTAAATTTTGCGTAATCCGTGAGTTTTATATTGCACATAAAAGCATACACTTTTAAGCAAGGACGAAACCTGAATACAAAATGAATGGAACAGAACTAGGCCTACTTTGTTTTCCAAATTAAAAATGTACAGTAACACATGGGACATGGCATTTAATATGAATATTTCATAAGTTTATCGATAATACATTAGCGCCATCACAGAAAACATTAAAATAATACTTAAGATAAGCATAATGAAAACATGCTGTTTAAAGCGCACACAACAGTGCATTTACTTTCAGTGGTAGCATGAGTGTTGATATACTTTTCTTACTACACTTCTAATTTGAATTCTGACTGACAGGGACCAACAGCAGAAAATCTGGAGTAACTGAAAAAACTACAAACAAAACGCAAAAAAAACACAAGTGATTGAAAGAAAACCCATTTGTGGATTGTCCTGATTTCCAAAAGAGGAAGAAGCAGCACAAGTGTCACACAAAAGAGCGTACAGTGTTTCAAAATCAAAGTACAGGAATACATTCGGTCATCCAATTTTGATTTCGTCAATTCGATTTCTGTATTGTCACTGTATCACTGTACGAAGCTTGTCACCAGCAGGACAGTGGCAGCACCTCCTCTCTCTGTTCGGCGTCGTTCTGCCGGTCCATTTTCCATTCAGATAGAGCACCACGGGAGGCTTAAAAAGACATAGCACCAAGTTCTGTCCACAGCACCACTTCAGCCAAGAAAATGCCATCCAAGTTCAATAAGTTTTGTCAGGTCGAACAAACAAACAATCAGTCGTATCTATTAAACTTTTTCATCTGTAACAATTGTGTCAGTGTTGGGGAGGGGAGGGTAGTTGACCCCCAGGAAGCATCATTTAATGGTCTGCGACTCATTCAAAAGAAACGATAATACAATAACAAAAGCATTAAGTACAAAATAAAACCTCCGGATATGGAAAAATTTACCTCTAAACACTGCGAGTTTCCAAGTGTACAATTGTTCGGAGCACCTGCGCAAAGCTTGAATCCCGATGAAGTTCTTTCTCCAGGGAAACATCGCTTATGCTGCAATTTAATTAAAATGAACGCATCGAAAGAAGTGGAAAAGTGATACAAGTAAATTCTAAAAGGTGCCTCTAGATTTTCCATCGAAGGAAAGCAAAAAGCCTGTGAACCAGTAGTGGACTCACAGCAACAGGGCCCTACAATAGGGAGTATTCTTGACCAGCTGTGATATTATAGAATGGAAGATCTCTGGCATTCCTATTGCAATGTTCCTCAGCCTGTAAACTATACACGAGATCCACATCCAGTGCAGTGACCATCGTTCCCATGTTCTACGGGTCCAGCACACAACGAGTTATTCCAACGCATCTAAAGAGAAGAACTTCCAATCACAAATAAGCAAGACAGATAGTACTAATTTTGTACAAAGTTAACAGTAAGAAACGCAGTTGTCTGTCAGCATGAACATGAGTATAGTTACTTTGTGATATAGTAGCTAAGATACCACATCGGTTTGCCACCCAGAACAAGGAGAAGTTACTACTAAAGCATGATGTGTTGTGTTATGTGTTGTGTTGTGCTTTGACATCCCCCTAAACAAACCACTCCATCCACATCATGCCTTTAGTGTCAGGAACAAGAAGCCACTGGTCCGGCTGATTATCATAAATATTTTTTGTTCTCAGGTGCAATAATTAATCACACTCCTTTCATGGTGTCAAGCTCTTGGCATGGATTTAGGCATAATGTGAAATCATTCAACAGGACATTTAGGGACGTCCTATTTATCATTCACAAGAATTCGAATAACAGCTAAAGTGTTCTTCTGTTTCAGTTAATTTTATGCGAGGAAGCATATTTGAGATAACGTGATTCTGTGACTTATAACTGTATGACTCTTTGGCACTGTGAGGTAGGACAGAATCCAGTTGACAATATAGGGAGCAAAGCAGCGTAGACTCTGATTTGAGTAAGACTTTACACAGGGAGGGGGGGGGGAATCATTATGTTTGTTGGGAGCCAGGAGGATTTCATGACGGTTGGGCGGTATTAAAGGAGACATTCATGTTGGATGAAACGGGCAAGTTGGTCATGTTGAGGGAAAACACAAGGGGAAAAATGGAGCAATTTTTAGTCAAGAACAAAGTTTGTTGGCCAGTCTGAGGGGAAGCAGCCACATTTATTCGGTGGTACCAGAGGAGGCAATCGTGTTGAATAGGTGTCCTTGGCGGACGTCTGCTCGCAGGTCTGGTGTCGGCAGAGCAGGAATGGGAAGCAGATCAATGGGCTCTGCAGGGCTGGCCTTCTCTGTCTAGCAGGTTGGAGGACCTGAGAAGCCTAGAGCTCCTGGGTATGAGTAGTGAAAAAGCCTGGAGGACATAAGTCAGCGCTACGTCACGCACATTATTATCGGACAGAATCAAGCAAATAAACAGGAAGGATCTTAATTGTCCTGTACCTGCAAGCCCACCTGTGATGCACATGGTGTTTTCTAGGTGACACAGAAATGAAGAAAATCATAACCATCAGAACAGACAGTGATGAACACAGCACATGTATCCGTAACACATGAAAGGTTTGGTCATGTGACCAAACTGAACTGGTCATGTGATTAAGAACATATTATAAAAAGGGGTTTACCTCAAAATGAATGCTCCTGTTCTACAGGGTGTCTTACATTGTGGTTTAAAAAAAGAAAGAAAAATCTGTATATCTTCACAATTTAAATGGAGGTGAGGGAGTATGTTCAAGTAAGTGGCCAGTTTTGGGGCATGTGCCTGACTGAATCCGTCTTCCAGTCCACAAAGGGCAGCTCGACAGCTCACTGACAGAAGGTCACACCAGGCATGGAAACAAAGAGCACTAGAAATAGGTTGTCGCCCCCTTGTGGCTGTAGAGAGAAATTGGACCTAGCAGCCAACATTCTATGTGAGGGTTTATTCCATAATGGTTGATGAGATCAGTTGATATACTACAGAAAAGAGGACTGTTTGCATATATTGGCTGACAGAGAAGTATTGCCTATCTTGAAGCTGAAAGCGATGACTTCCTACCCTGAATCTGAATGCAGAAGGTGAGATTATTTTGATGACTGGCCTTCTTCATCTGTCCTTCTCTGGGACGCCATCTGTTCAAATGTCTCGCTGCCATCTTTTGGAAGGGATGGGGATTGGGGTGGGCAGCTTGTTCCTAACACCATAGAGGCTTGGCAAGTTGGGGTGGCTCGTGGGGGAGTGGGAGATTCACTTGTGGGAGGGGGCAAAGCTACCGCCCCCAGCTCGGGCCTTATGGGAAGAAGGGTTAGGGCTGGCCGGGGTCGAGGGCGGACAAAACTCTCCGGGGGGCCTTGGTGGGACTTGGAGGGGCTCTGAGTGAGCGGTGAGAGGCACGAGGGCCGTAAGAGCACCTGACCCAGGGTCACGTCAGCACGCCGCATCACCCTGGGGCTGAGCTGAGGCCGGGGAGGCCACCAGGGGAGGTCAACGGCCAGCTGCGGGGCAGGAGAAGGCAGAACCAGCACACCCATTCCGTTACTGGTGTGTCTCAGCTGACCCGGCAGCTGGGCCTCTTGAGCAATCGAACGCAGTGCCCTGCTGGGGGCCTGGGCCTGGGGGCCGACAGGGGGCTCCAGCAGCATGGGCCCTGGGAATGAAGGCACCTGGAAGAAGGAGGGCTGCAGATGTTCCGGTGGAGCGATGTGGGGTACAGGCAGCGACGGTTCCGGGAGGTCCGGACACAGGCGGAAATGTGGGTGAGGGGGGAAGAACAACTGGGGTCCCGAGAGAGGAGCAAAAGGGAGGAGGGGACTGCTGCGGGGACCGAAGGGCTGGATCTCACTCACGAAGCTCTCCTCTAAAAGGCCGGCCTGGATGTAACGTGCCTCGTGCAGCAGGGGAGGTGAAGACATGGCAGAACTTCCCGGGCTGCTCTCGGGCATGTAGAAGGTTGACGGCAGCTCCAGGGCACCAGGCCTGCTTGTGTACGCGCGGTACGGGCCTTGGGGCAGGGTGATGGGCTGGAGACCTCCTCCATTCTGCGCTGGGCTCTCAATGAGACTCACGCCGGTCATGGGGCTTTGGGGGTGGGGGCTGTAGGCGGGGGGCTGCCCGTAGGACTCCTGGCTGGATGACACGGGCGAGAGCCTGAGCATGGTCACCGCGGAGGGCATGGGGGGCGGGTCATCGTTCTCCTCATCCGACTGGCGGAACTCTGGGTACTGGTCCGACTCCTCCACGAAGGGGAAGCCCTGGATGCGTCCCGGTTGGAAGGGCGGCTCCATGACGAAGCGGCCGTCCGGCCCGCGGCTGATCAGCTCGATGGGTAGGGCGGGCTCAGGCTTGGCCGCCGTGGCCGGCTTGCTCACCTCCCGCTCCGCGGGGCCTTCTTTGGCGGCCGGGGGGCCCACAGACCGCGGGCTTTCAGGACTCGCTTTCCCCGAGGAAGAGCTGAAGGCCCAGAGAAAGAGAGAGAAAGCCCCCCCCCCCTCAGAATCCAGCTCCATCCTCTATGCTTCAGGCATCTTCCTCTACACATGCTGCAGACCATGTTTGCTACACTATATTAAGACCAGGACTAGGCATGTCACCCACAACAAAGGCTCGATCCTAACTCCATGACCACTGATTGTGTCCAACATGGAGCAGCCATGGACTAAACATGATAGATTCCAGAAGATGCCACTGGTCAAACCTAATAAGACGTAGAAGTCATGAGCTAAACATGATCATGTGGAATTAATTATATTATTCGCTGAACACACATGAAACTGAGTACCACTTAATTCCATATAAACCCATTATCTAAAGCAGAGGAATATTTATTCTCCAGGTACTTAAGAAAAATGAAATTCCGGTTGGCTAGAGACTGACAGCAAGCTCAATGGTTGAATCATAAAAAAAATTTTCAATTTAAATTTCGCTTTGTGGCATGCTTGCGTGATACAGTGCCAAGAGGGCCCAAATCTAAAATAGCAATTATTCAAAGCGTGGCCAGGCTGTTAAATTTACCTCCCTGCGAGACTCTACAGACGTGCTACGTGCAGGAAATGCAAGGCATGTAGTGTGAGGTTACTTACGCAGCTTCCACGCTCTTTCTGCAGTGTGTAATAGACAGGGGGGGATCTGGAGGGGAAGACAAAATGGAGAGTGAAAATAAATAGCCGCCCAGATTGGAAGTGATGGGGAGGTTCACAGGGGAGCCAGTAGGTGGCCCCCGCTTGTCGGCTGGCACCTGGCTTGCGTTTCAGCTTCTGCCGCCGCTGTTTGTTGACAAAGTAGGCCGCCAGGGTGCTGAAGAGAACCGCGGCAGCCAGGAAGCAGAGTGTGGCCACCACACCTGCCACTACGGGGCGAGCAAGTCCCTCCTCAGCTACCTCTGGAGGTAAGGCTATTTCTACAGGAAAAAAAGAGAAAAGGTGGGGGCCAAAGAGGAACACCGCAGACCTAAACGATGTAGTATTTATACCTGTCATACGTAGCTAAAATACAATACCTAGATACAATATCATAGATTTATGGATACCAAAAATACAATACCATAGATTTATGGATAAAAAGAGAACTCAAATTTGACTTTTTCATAAATAGACAACAGGGGGCAGCAGAGTGATTTCTGCAAGTAAAAAATGCACTTGTATAAAGACATACATATCAGTATGTTTGCATCTGCTCACCTGTACTTGAAACTCCCACTACATTACTGCTTTCACTGATGAGGTCGTCCATGACGGCCATGACTCGGAACTCGTACCACGTCTCCTGCAGCGAGATCACCCAAGAAATCCACCAGTTGCACCCGACTGCAATGTTTCTGGCTCATACACCAACCCTGATTCGTGTCAGTGCCGAAAACTAGGGCCCGGCGTAAATTTTCATATCTGTGGGAACGGATGTAAATGAAAACCGCAGTGGGAGAAGCCCCGCTTGATGGCGGCGTAATGCAGCACCGCTTTACGGCGTAATGCAGCACCGTGTCGCAGCGTAACGCAGCACGGCACAGACTGTCGGTGGGATGAAAGCCTTTCTGTCTGCCAAGGCTCGTTACGGTTTGCAAACAGAGGCCGTGTTTACAGCCATTCCGTACTGCAAAACATGTGCTCCTCATTCAATTAAGGCCTATTTTAAAGACATTTCGAAACACAGGTCAGTGCTTCCCACTATAAGCCTGCGGTGGAACAATGCTGTGGGAATAATCTCCCCCAAATGTCAGCCCCGAAACCGCCTTTTAACACTGACACCCTGCAAGCGGCTCGGGTGAATGAACAGACACTCTCTGTCGCTTCTTGTTAAGCGGGTCTCGGGCTGTGGACGATGATTTAACACGAACTATGTTGCTTCTTCACTTATCATGACTGCCTGAACAAACGGTCAAGCTCTAGGACCTAAACAAAAAGCCACACTGCAGCTGTGAATTGGGTTTGCTCTACTTATCTGTCAATGCATCAGGAGCAGCTGGTAGTTATTCTTCTCTGACAAATCTTTCCTGACCTTTGCATAGCCCTATTTCCGGAACATCCGCCCTGTCCATGTCTCTGCCAGCGTCACGTGACAGCGCTTGACCTGGACTAGGTCTCTCGCCAGCAGCTCTGTCACCCCGGCCGGGATCGCTTCGTCCAGGACTTCCCACCGATCTCCGAGGCGGAGCTCCATGATGTAGCGCTCGATCGGTGACGTGTGATTGGCCGGAGGGAGCCAGGCCAGCAGAATTCCTTGCTGCGTCCGATTGGCTATTAGGCACCTGGGTGGAGTCAGTAGCACCAATGGTTCCGGAGTAGTCTTAGGGAAGGCTGTGAATGACAAGGGGCCAAAGGTTTATGGGTAACCAGCAACAACCATGAATAAGCGGTTGAAAGATTGTCCCCAGCTGCCGCCCCAGGAGAATCCATGAGGGCTACTGACCCAGCGTGGTGGCGGTGACAACCTCGCTGAAGGGACCTGTGCCCAGCTTGTTTAGGGCCAGCACACTGAACTGGTAGGACATGTGGGGCTCCAAACCCTGAATGAGCAGCGAGGTGTGGGCCCCAGCCGGCGTGGACTGCCAGTCGTGTGGCCCCAGCCGTGTCTTCTTCACCCTGCAAGGGGGGAACACGAGCACCTCTTAAGGAACGAGGTACTGACATGGCAAAAACATCAATCAACACTACATATAACTCGTTAAAGCACGACATACCTCTCCTTCATCACTCCTCACTGGTAACGTCCTGGTTTTTTTTTTACCATGTACATTCAAAATGCACATTATTTATTTTCAGAGTAACATGATCAGTATCAAAAAAGAAAGCAATTGTAGAGTCCATCAGAAGGCATGTGAGGGTTATTTACCAAAATATTCAGGATATATTCAATGAAATCCATCCATCCTTTCATCACCCATAACGGCTTATCCAGTACAGGGTTGTGGTGAGCCTGGCATCTCTCCCAGGAAACACAGGGCACCAGGCAGGAGGACTCCCAGGGTGGCATAAGCTACTCTACTGGAGGCGAACACTCATACCCAAAATGTGCAATTTAGAGACAGCAATGCAGGAAGGAAACTGAGTACTGGGAAGAAACCGACACGGACACTGGGAGACCATGGAAACTGGTTGATAAACTATCCAGCGCAGTATCGCATGATGGTGGTTACCCTGGGTTCCCCTGTGCTGTCGATCAGCCCCTGCTGATCATGGCGCTCGCTGTCAGCACAGAGCAACACGGCCGACTGCGCGCGGCGTCGCCACCCCACGCTCATCCACACCATTAGCTGTTTGTTGGGCCTGGTGAAAGTGACCCTGACAGCTGAGGTGAGAGGCTCTATCTGTGTCTGAGCCGTGTGGTCTTTGAGTAACTCTGAGACAAGGCTGGGATTCGGCCTTATGTCTCCTTTCTGCACACTGACAAGACAATTACTTTTAGAACTTCCACACTGACCCACACCCAACACAAGCTAAGACGTCCACCGCGAGATGGTCCCTATTCCCAAATTCAGTTCGGTTCTTCAAGAAGCGCCAACAGAACCCGCCTGTATGTATATGAAACTGCACACTGTGAGGATTGCTAAATTACACTAAACTGTGTTGTAGACAATGTTGTTTGTGTATTTTCATTGACACCCGAGCAGAATCGGCTGCCCTGAACTTCCTAATGCATGATCTACTTTGCCTGTGATCTACTTTGTGTGTGATGTAATTTGGGTCTAATCCAATTTAGCTAAAAGTTCATGTCCAACAATATTAAAACTTACTCTACATTTTCTGTAATATATACCCAGTTTCCCTTCAAAAAGTGAATACAAACATGCTTCAATATCTTGGACTTCAATGAAACTTTTAAGGGACAGATGACACAACAACACTGAGCATGACTGATGGCTCCTGACTCAATGGCTATGACAATGACTACAGGTCAATGGTTAGCTGCTTTATAATATTAATAGCTAAAGATTAATCTTTATTCAAATACTGCCGGTCCAAATAATTAAGTATTAAAATATGAATATGAAAGGTGAACTGAAGTTCTACACACATACAGCTGCAATTGCTGAGAAACACAAAAATTATCAGAAGTACGCCACATCAAAAAGGCATCACATGACCGCTCCATTCAAAAACAGGGTAGAAGCTGGAAGCAAAGCATGCTGGGATGACTCACACAGGGCCGTACCAGACTGAGAATGTCTGCTCGAATCCACCGTCATAGCCCGGCTCCCAGGACACATTGGCTGAGGTCATGGCGGGAGAAACACGGAGGTTGACTGGGGAGTGCGGACTCGTGCCTGATGGACATGGGGGAAGGAGGACATTGGTGGAGAATCAAGGGAAGCAGGAGGATGGATTCTACTTTTCTTTAATTTGTACTAGTCTAATTTAGCTAATTTGTTTTCCACGGGTGGTTAATTATATTATGTGTAACTTTAAGTTTAAGTTTGTCTTTCAAATGGGACCTCGCCCCTATTTTGTATTAATTGCTTGTTCAATAACCCCTGTTGTCCCATTTTGTGGCAGTCAGTAACCTTCCAGTTCCTGGTCGTTAACCACAGGCAGTGTTTCGGGGTGCAGTCATCACTGAGATAATTGAGAGCCGGTGGCGACGACGACCGGCAGAGCTCCCTACCAGCCACCAAGAGGTGCGTGCTGGCCGTGATGCTGGTGACGACGTTGGTGGCCACGCACTCCCACTCGCCGTGGTCGTCCTTGCTGACGGAGTGGAACTGCAGGCTGCCGTTGGGCAGGACGCTGTGTTTGCTCACACTTGGCTTTCCTACCTGAGACAGGACACGGCGCTCAGCGGGCGACACCGGAACACGAGGCCTGCTCGCTCCAGGGGTTACATTAGATGAGGATCAACCTTTATCGGGGTGGGTTCTTATACCATCTACAGGCATAAGAGAACCTGGGAACCAGCTTTCATCCTTCACCTTCTATAGGTATAACCAGTACTGGTTGAAGCCCGTGTGGAGCTCTAAACAAACTTCACCATCATTTTATCACCCAATTTTAGGTTGTCGTCCAGGATGGGTAGGTGGGGGGGGGCAAAAATTGCTAAGTCAGCATCCATCAGAAGATGGCGCCCAAGTTCACCACCTATGTTGACTAATGGGTTGACTGGCACTGGGTGAATCAGAGGGCAGGGGCTGAGCAGTATTCCGATGCACTGTCCCACCTTTCTCCACGTGATTGTTGGAACCTCTGGGTCCCCAGAAGCAGCGCAGGGGATGAGCAGTTGCTTCCCAGCATCCTGCCTGTACTCTGGTCCGGGCCTCACACTGAAGTACGGCGGATCCTGGAGGCCAGAGACGCATCCGGCACTAAGAGACTCCACCATTCATGCAACTAAATACGTTTTATCCCTGCAACCTCATTCTATTCCGGAAACACGGGGCAACCTTGAATACTACTGAAGCACTGCGACATTAATTAGACAGTGGCAGCAGACTGGATCCAAGGCTGGAGACTCTCTTATCCAGTTCATGCAAACCATCAGCCGGCACAATGTGCTGCATGCTGTCATATACCTTTAGCACCAGTTTAGCGGGGAGTGACCTTCCGGTGGTACCCAGGATGTTGTAAGGCATGCAGGTGTAGGTGCCCACTGATTCCTCTGTCACCTCCGTGACACGGATGCTTCCGTCCTCCGTCAAACTCCATCCTGGGTGCTGGAGGGGAGGACGAGGTGAGAGGCTGAAGAATGATGCAGTGTCATGTAACCGTCCATCCGAATTCCACGTCGGAAATCACAGGCCCTTCCTGGCAACAGGACTTCCCACCCTCAGATTGTATGGCAAAACGCCAGAAGGGGACCTTATGTTGTTTTATGGTTCCTCCTGACCTGCTATGCTTAGTGGGACATGCTATTGCCGTTAAAGCAATAAAACACATCAGTTCATCAATACTGTAATTACACCTCGGTAAGCAGAAGTGTAACTCGTGGGATATAGTGATAATTTGGCCAACTGCTTGTCTTACTTGTTAACCGAACACTGTCCTGTTTTGTTGATGTTTGCTACCAAACTGACCGGCATACACTGAAAAAAGTAAACCATACCTGTCATTTGTTTGTGTGTTTTTTTCTCATTCCATTAGTTAAAAAAATATTAATTTGCTCTTTTAAACTAAGCTGTCTAATTTATGCTTATGGATGAATTGCTTTTTTTTTTACTTCACTATAATGCTACTGACATCAGGGAACCAAAGTGAAATTTTTCATTTTGATCAAAGCACTTTTATTAGGTTGAGTGTGATTTGCGCATGCGCCGTCTTTAACGTGGTTTTGGCGGTATAATTATACTGCCGCCTCAAACGGGAGCATGATGTTGAAACAACAACGTTGAAACAAGTAAGGAAAGATATCAGAACCTGTATTTCAGTTAATGTTAGTTAAGCAATTTCCGTTAAACATATTTATATCTTCATATCCTTGACTGGAAATCATTTTCAGCCAACGTAACTTTCAGCCCCTGTGTGGGAAGCAAGTTGCAGTTAAATGTACCCATTGCAAACAGTCTTTTAATTTGTGTATAAATGCAGACATATGGCTTTTCTCTCAGTTTCAAATACAATTAGCAGTATTGAATGACTCTTAATATTTATACATTTTGGAAAAAAAAATTTGTGTTAACATTTTGGATTAAAACATGTTCTTTCCACAATAAATAATGTGTATGTAAAGAAATGTGTTCTGAGTGTAAATCAAAACATAATTAAGTTTTTTTGCTTTTATATTTAAATTATGAATGCCTTAAATCTTTATTTGATGCAACTTAAAAAAGTTAATTTGCTCAAACATTCAAAAGTGAAATATTAAGTTTATAATTTCAGGTTAGATTTAGTAGAATATTTACAATAAGTAATATAGCCAACTCACTTATTTTGATATTTGATATGACTTTAAATATTTGGTTTGTTTCACCTTCAGAAATTAGTTTACATGAACTTAAAAATTTAAAAGTTACAGTAAATGGTTTATTTACATTACAGCAATGCTAAAATATTAGGTGTGACAGATTACTTCAGTTTTTTTAAGTTGAGCCAGTGTTATATTTCTTTCAGTGTATATTTGTTCCTTCAGAAGCACACGACACCCCAGAAGACGAAGGTCAAGCACCTTCTCTATCCTCAGTGGAAAGCCGTTCTTTTCCCACTTAACCCATGTCACCGGAGGACTGGCATCTGTGGGACAGCGGATGTAACCCGTCATCTTCTTCGGGACGTAGATTACAGTGGGCATGTTAATCACTCGGGCCGGATCTAGAGGACAAAGCACAGAAAAAGGTACAGGGGAAACAAGGGTAATGTCACAATCCACGGGGGAAGCAGGCGAAGGAAGCCGTGAATAAGCACAAAAGGGCTTTATTTCTGGGATGACACACTCCAAGACACACGTAACGTTAATGACCGGACTGGGGAAACGAACGGAAACGCGGACTAAATACACTGGACTAATGACAGCAATCAGAAACAGCCGTAAAACACTGGGAATCCACATGAGGTTAACGAGGGGGGCGTGGCACAGAAGGATCGGCACGATCGGGGCGTGACAGGTAACATATAACAGATGGAAGTATGTATGGACATGGCCATTGATCCTTGATACTGGGTAGAGTGGGAAGCTGCTCTCTTGGGAATATTGCAATCCATCAAAGGCTTTCCGGACGTCCCGAAATCGAAACGGAACAAACAAGCGGGCGGAGCCGGGGGTGCCGACGTCAGCGTCAGCGGGGGCATGATTGCTAATGACCTGCCATAGAGTGCACTGTTAATTATCGGCGGATTCTGGCGCGTGGAGGAAAGGCCCATCGCTTCACATCATGCGAGGGAAGGAGGAGAGCTTCACAGGGTTACCAGAGGGCCGTTTAATGTAAGCACCATTTAGCGTTTGTGGAAAGTGTAATATTCCCCATAGCAGAGTAAACACATCAAACGCATCCATAAATAAAGAGGCCCCTCAGTTATCACCCATCCATTCATCCATAACAGCTTATCCAGTACAGAGTCGTACCCATCCTGGAGCCTGTCCCAGGAAGTACCGGCACAGGGCAGGGAACGTTCTGGAAGGGATGCCAGCCCATAAGCTGATCCACAAAAATAGCTTCACAGAGAAGTGTCTGGGCTTGGTGAACCATTAATAAATTTAGAGCATCTATAATTAACAAAAAATCAGTTACATGAGTTTCGCTATTAAAATATTCTACTATGCAGTGTGTCGATCAGTTAATATTTGTTTACTGCAATTATTATATATTATATTCGAGGTGGACAATGGACATTTTTTGTTTGATTTTCTGTTGCTTTTCAGCTACACCATCTCACGCAGAGTGCTTGCTCAGGCAGACCTCGTATGAATCAGATCGCCCCTTTTTCCTTCTCTCAGAAGCCTGATCTCTGTGAGGGTGAGGGGCCTGGAGCATCCCGCTGGCCCTAACTCAGGAAGGGCCTCTTATTCGCACGCTGGCGGAAGCCTGACGCTATAGAGTTCACTGCCAGCCTGGAGGTCACTGACGCACACGCTTGTACCTCAACACGTACGCAAGCAAGAATGTGTAATACCTGCTGATATTTGGATATCCGTAAGGTAAACATGCCCAGGAGGGGTGGCCGTTTAGCTGACCTTGCGGCCATTGAGAATTTTCCCCCTACCAGTCCACAGGGGTGGATTTCTTGTTTCTGGGGACCCACTCAAAAAATTTTGGTGCCCCCTATCCCTACTCAGATGTTTCAAAAACTGAATAAATAGATAGCAAGCAGTCAGAAGATCATAACTAGTTGATGGGTTGGCTGAACATGCTCATAAATAAAGAACATGTTTATTTAATATTTAATGTAGTGACTGTCTGTGGCCTACAGGGGGCCCCAAAATTGAGGGGACCCACCTAAACATGTGGTTTGAGCAGTGGCAACCACGGCTGCTCCCAATCCATCCAAATAGGTTCAGAGAGGAAGCCCCACAGCCCCCCCCCCACTCACACTGGACGACGAGGTGTGCTGAAGCCGTGGGCGACAGGCCTAAGCTGTTGCTGGGGGTGCAGGTGTATTTTCCGGCATCTTCCGGCTTCACTCGAAAGATGATGAGGGTCCCGTCGATCAGGATTCGCACCCGCAGCTTCAGGTCGCTGTAGGGACAGCAAACAGGCTGAGGCACTGGTGGTCATGCATTTATCTATGTACAGCTTGTGCAATGTAATGCTTCTAAATTGCATGCAGTTTTTGGTACATTCATTTCCCTGGTTTGTGCCCTTTCCTCTGTTTTAATATGGAGGCCCTGCAACCCTAGTAAGCAATCAAATATGTTAATTACACCAAAGTGCATCATACACTGGGACCTGGCTTCAATCCCTACTGTGTTGCATTAGCTGGCTGTCACAGGAGTTAATTGGCGGAGGTCCACAGTGACACCTACAGGGCTACGTCGGGAATTACAGTAAGTAAGTAGAGCTCTCATGGAAATGTGTCATGTCACTTGATGAAGCCTGGGACCCACAGAGTAAACAATCGAGGGTGGGTGACAGCACAGACAAGCCCTCACAAAATGGAATGGGCATTTGGGGGGATATGAATGACAAATGGGAAAAATGGCCAATGCAGATTTGGACAACAACAGCTAAAACAGAGGGTTATAGAGCATAAACAGTGCATGAATGGCAGCACAGGGAACTCGATCATAACTTTACTTCTTGAAGTAGACGTTGTCCTCCTCCCAAAACCAGGTGTAGGTCAGGTTTGCAGGGTATGCCTCTGCTTGGCAGGTGAAGAATGCGTTTTGAGATATGTTTACAGTTATGTTCTTGGGTGGTGTAACAATAAATGGTGACCCTGGGGAAAACACAGAAAATGGTCATGGGTTCTCTTCATGAAGATATGTTACTCCTCACCAAACAGCCTGTATAAAGATCATTGCCATCACTCTGTCAGGCCTTCAAAACAATAGCTAGCAGGTAGGAGATCAAATGACGCATTGCATCTTGTCAAATTGGAATGTGCAGACAGGCAGACAGACAAACAAACAGACAGACAAACAGTAAATAGATAGATAGATAGATAGATAGATAGATAGATAGATAGATAGATAGATAGATGCATTATGTCAGTAATTATGAAAGCCCAATTTGTGCCAAACACATCACAAATTGCATTAGTTTGGTTCTTTGGCAATCCGAGTGACATCACACTTGTAATTACCTTGAATGAGGAGGTGGGTGGAGTGAATGGCCTCCCCCTGAGGGCTGTGGGCGTGGCAAGCATAGACACCGCCGTCCTCCCGCAGGAGCGACACGACCGTCAGCTGCCCGTCAGTCACCTGCCAGGCAGGTGGCCAAAACAATCGCTTTGACTTACATACTTACACAGAGTCTCCAAGGTCACCGATCTACAGCTTAGGCTACAATTGCAGAGTCCAAAGGGCTGGGAGCTCATTCACATCTGTGGCCAAGAAATCCATGGTTGCATAACTCACTGATCAAAAGAGATGTAATTCACTGATAAGCATTTGTGGGGAACACTGCTAAACTGCCGCGGCTGCCACTGCTGAAAGGATTCGCCTTCAAATGAGAGGAGGCATTCAAGCTAAGGGCACCACAAGCTGGATTATCTCTGACGGCACAGCAGTCAAAGCAAACAGCTCCCGGCGCCTCCCGGAAATGGAATACAAACATCACAACCGCAGAAATTAATATGTGCACGGGAAGATTATTAAATCGTGTGCATCCCCCCGTTCAAACATCTTGAAGCTAAAATGCAAATATTTTAATTTTTGACTGGTTAAGATATAACCACAGTCATCCATCATCAGTACCTGAAGGAACCTATAGAAAATCATGTGGAAAACAGATTTCTTTGCTTATTATGATAACAATGCTAGGGTCATATGTGGCCACCACAGGACCAAGATTCACTGATTTGATGTCAGATCTCACTGGAAGATTGTCACCCTTGACATGGTGCAGGTCCAAAGACACCCACGAATAAACGACTTTTGTCCATTATCTGTGACTGAGCCGATCGGTTTCGGACAGAAGCTCAGTCAGCATGCAGTAAAGCGTGCCCGGTGGACTCGGCCGGGCTGTACATGGTGTTACAAGAAGGCTTACAGTTCCTGTTCGGCTACCTGGTACTTATCACTGTCTCCAAGCCGCTTGCCCTCCCTTTGCCAGCTCACCACGGGCTTGGGATTCCCCACAGCGGCACAGCTCAGGGTCACGCTGCCACCTTCCCTGGCCTCCACATACTGTGGGGGTGTACCTGTGAAAGTGGGCGGGGCTGTACGGGCAAGAGTTTATGTCGGCGAATGAGAGCCCAAGAGAGCATATGAAGTACAATTACTCACCGTTAGCATCATTAGCTAATCATGGCTCATCTTTACCTGCATTATCATTAGCGGAAACTGATGTCACGTCTAATTGCATTGGGCAGGGAAGTACCTGTAGCACAGAGTTAACTTTCAATCAACTAAGTGAATTAAAAGACTTAGGGCACATCTGACATCACATACTTACACAGTACATACTGACTTTCTTTAGAAGCCTACTACTTGACTATCAACGTAGTACATACTATATGTGTGCATGAAAATAGTATGCATGCCCTGAGATATATTGCATTGTTACTTGACCTGGATGTTTACCAATAACATAGCCTGACCCCCACAAAAGCTGAAAACTATTTACGAAAAAAAATACATATTCGAGTGAACTTATGTAACTGGGTAACTACTGACATCGGTACAGACATGGCACTTCCTCTGCTATCTTGGCATAAACATCTGAGCAAGCAACCTTCTTCATCTCTAGTTACAGCTGCAGTGGCCTTGTGGGATAGTGTAGCATCCATCGGTTGAACACTTCGGAATGTGGCCGAATGCAGCATGTAATCCGGGAACCGTTCATCTACTATCTCATGCATACTAAGGATTGGGACATACTGCTCATTTTGCATACTGTATTATGTACTACCACATAGCAAACAAGTATGCAATTTCGGATGCACACATAATTAGTGCGCTATTTGCAATGGGAACACAGATATGACATTAAGCAAAGCTGGCTCACCTTTGACAGTGAGGTGTACCCAACTGCCATTTTGGAATGGGTCGGTCTGCTGCTCCAGCACCAGGACCCTGCACTCGTACCAGCCCTGGTCTGCAGAGCGCACCTGCTCGATCCGCAGCGAGGCCTTCCCCTGGAGTGTGACTCTACCTACAGTGCCAGAGCAGAGGTTAAAGGTCACTGATATCCAGTGGCATAGCACTAGGAAAAATTTTTTCTAAATGTATTTTTTTCCCTCCACACTTTCATCTACCCTCTTTGTACAGAATAAAGGTGCATATGAAATTTAATTCAGATTCACAGTAGTCTGTATACCATTCATCCATCTTCCAACCAATTATGCTTGTCAGGATTGCAGGGTGCCTGGAGTCTATCCCAGTGAGGCCTCAGGGTTACTCAATGAGCCACCATACCTCTAGTCCGTCACCCGCCGGTCTACAGCGCTGCCATTTTAACGAATCTGACACAATTTTTATGAGTCCGACATTCTGCATTTATCCTTTTTGTGTCTGTGTGTCGTATCAGGAAATTGGAATTTAATCACTAGCGTAAATGTATCTCGCCACCATTACAAAGTGAAAATTTCCACGTCGGATGCCAGTCGGGAAGCCGCAGGGGCTTGTCAGCTGTCGTCCATGAGTGAATTTCACAGCCTCGACACATTGAGCAGGCGCATATGTGCGGCCAAACTGTACCGGGTACAGTGTTAACCCTGCTAACTTTATTGGAGCTCATCTAGTTCTATTAACACTGCAGTTTTTGGTGTCGGTCTCTCACTCTGAATCAATGTACCAGTTTGCTAGACATCAGCCACCTGTGGGAAGGTCGTTAGGAGTGCACTGCAGTATGAACATGTTTATCTAATATCCATTTAGCTACAAAACAGTTGTATTTACTAGCTAAATGCTCAAGATATTACTCAGCAGCCAATTAACAATAGCTATTAGAAGGCTAATTATGGTCCATATCCAATATCAAGTTACCTCAAGCATGTCATTGAACAAATTTGGGAAACAATCAGAGTCAAATGTGGATGCTATTTACCCTCAGTCAGACATACACAGACATTAATGCTAACGGATCTGCTCTCTGCAGTCTGTTCTTACAGTTTGATCAAAAACAGAGACCGAGACCAAAATATTGTCCAGACACAGGGCAGGAAACACATTGTAAGAAATCACGCCTATTTTTCTTTACCAGTCTCTGACCTGGGAGTCTGTAGGTCTTGCGAGACACGTTTGACTTTGAATCTGGTGCAGTAACTTCCCAAACAAGACCATCAATAAAGCAGTTAAGAGCACACATGGAGAACACTTAGCATGTCTGTGCAACACAAATTATATGTGATTTCTTTTTTTACACTCGAAAACTAGGGGTACTGAAATAGCCTCGAGACTCTAGGAAGACTTACCAGCATACTCTGGGTCCACATGCGGCGGGTAGAAGCGGAAACTGATGAAGAAGGGCATAGGCACGCTGGACCGGAACCACTCCACCACATAGGCAGGCTGCGGGCCGCTCAGGGGCCAGGACACGTCACATCCCAGCACCACGGTCTCACCAGCACGCACTGTCACAAACCGGGGCTCCTCTCTTGCTATGCGGGGACCTAAGGGGGGTCACCAAGGGGGCAGCGAGATACGGAGGTCACTGCGAGGACCCCATGATGCTGGGGTCACTGTGGGAGACCCCACGATTATACACACTGACGCCATCAACTGCAGGGAAGGTGCACTGGATGGCAGTCAGGAGACCCAGTGGGATTCTATTGTTAGTAATTATGAGTGTTTGAAGGGGAACAGGCTGTCATTACCGCCCACACACCCACTGTCTGGCTTCACACAGCCTGAAAAGGCATACTGGGGTTGGCAGTCACCTAACCAGCTACCTCTCCATCCATCTTTGCCGCAGAGGTCATAGAGGACTCACAAGCTGGGGATTTGCAGTGCCGTACAGTATATGTACATCGCACCTGAACAGAAGAGTGGCTCAGAGCAGTTCTAACCAGTCAAAACCAGTTCCGACCAGCCAGCCCATTCACTGCCAATCACATACTGCTGCTGTTGGCCATCTGCTCATAGCAGGACATTTTCAATTTGCCTCAGCGACCACTGGATCTCCACAGGGTCTAACCCTAACCCCCAAAACGCTCTGCTACTGTTGACATCTTGCAGAAAGTCAGCTTTTCAAATGGTATTATCAACTAAAAAGTAGTAGCCAGAAAAATTTCTCAACAGTAGTATTTCACTGTAAACCAAACAGCATATTATCTATGACGGTTTATTTGAAATGCATTCCACCCATCTATTTTCCAGTGCAGAGCTGCAGTGAGGCTGGAGTCTACACCATGGAGCTGAAGCAGGGGACACACTGGCATACCTGTCTATCATAGTTTGGGTGTATTCGGTATAAAAAAAAAAAAGACGTCAATGCTTGCAAGTTAAAAGGACCCAGTATAATTAGTGCGAATGGCAGAGGCCTACAGAAATGCCACCAGACCTGCATGGAATTTCAGTCCCCTATCACTCAGTTCCAGTGGAGACGGTGAGATTATCCCCACAGTCCAGATCCTTTACAGAGCTTCTACTTGACACAAAGATGAGAGGGCAGCTTAATCCCATCCTGCAGCAACTAATAACTATCCATTATCCTTCAGAAATAACTGCAGAGCAAAAAAGTTCACAGCTGATGGGCCAATAATTAAGAGTCAGAGGAGCAACAGTCACATGACTCCACTCAGAATCGCCCACCCATTAAAGTCAGATCTGAGACAGGTGTCATGTGGGACGAGGTGTTAGCACGAGCGGCCTTCTGCCATGCTGTGACCTTCAGAAGGAACGAAAACAAGGTTTTCCTCAAATCTCTCACCTCTCTTTAAACACTCAAGAAATACCAAAGGTATTAATAAAAAAAAAAAAAACTGTTGTAAATTAAGAGGCACACATGGGTATAAATGGATCTACTTGGTAAAATATACTTGACATTCATCTAGCAATTAAAATTATTTAAGGCATTAAAATAAAGACTTTCCATGTATTTTCAAAAAAGGTCATTTAGATCCAGGGCAGGCAGCTTAGACTGAGATGGCAGTGGTACCTCGGACCCAGGGGACGATGAAACCGGGTTGGATTTGGACAAGATTGCCGATCTGTTTTGAACTGGAAAGGAGGGAGGGCCTTCAATTCCTGGCCAAACTCTAATAAAAGATTAATTTTGTGAAGAGGGTTGGTACTGGCGGGACCGGAGAGGTCCGGCGTCTGGAGGTCGCGGCCGGAGCGCCTCTGTTTCCGTGTGCGTGTATGACACCAACCAGAGCTGTATTGATCTAGACCAAAAAAAGACGAATCGTGAAGATGAAGGTCATGCTGCTCACTGAGACATGAGGCGAAGTTACGCACATTACCTCTGCATTTTACCAACACAGGAAAATGAACAGGACTCACGGTGAAGAGAGTCATCCTCTTCTTATGTCTCGGATCACAAGCACCAATAAAGAAGGTCCTCGGATATCCAACCTTTCACAGTGTCTGGCATCGAGCCAGTGTGACTGAGCTCCTGCTTGTCCTTTCCCCTGCCCTTCCCCCCCCCCCCCCCCCCCCCCCCCAAGCTGGTGCTGCCTTAGCCACTGCATTCCTGTGCTTAATCTGCTTTGTTGAGCCAAACACTCCCCCCTCGCACCTAACTGAAGGAGCATGTTTTGGCCAAGCCCGTGCCAGCAGGGGGTGGTGTGCAGCTCTGTGGGTTAAGACCCATGGTCAGAAGGTCGTTGGTTCAAAACCTGGTCAGCAAAGTGATTCCAGCATTGGGCCCTTGAGCAGGGACCCTTAAGCTTAACTGTTCCAATAACTGGCTAACCCTGATTTCCCAAGTGTGCGTCACTTTGGGTAAAAGCGTCTGCTGCTGTGGCCCTTCCAGGGTCATGATACAGTGCAAGACAGGGCTATTCGAAACACGGTCCTCGAGGTCCGAGCACTGCCGATTTCCCAGCCTTCCTTTACCTGTGAGCCAGGTGTGAAGCCTCTGGCCAATCAGAATCAGGGTGAGTTAAGAGATAGAACTTATGAACAACGTAGCGTTAAGAAGGCTTCGGGAAGCTCATCCCGGTAATTATTAAACTAACTTCCTGGGAGCACTGAAAACAAGGCCTGGATTTGGAATCGGGGTCCAGAGTTGAAGAGCCCTGAAGTAAGATAAGGACCAGAAGAGATTCTGTCTGGAGTATTTCTGTGACCAGAAAGGTAAACTCAAATTTAAAGCCCAGATACAATACCCAGCTGGAGATGAAGGGAATTCAGGCAATAAAGGTTAAGCTTGTTTATGAACTCGTGCAGAACCTTGTGTTCAGTGATCATCTTCTCCTGGCAAAAAAACATATTTTCACAGCAGCTCTACGCTGTCAGAGGCACCATCATCAATGTCAACACATCATCACATCCACGTCAGAGAATGACTGGGCTTTGCTCATTAGTTTCTAATGATACCACCCTGTTTCAGCTCATTGCTGTCTGTCCACCAAGAAATTCCAGCGGAAATAATGATATTCCTACGATATTTTAAAGAAATGTCTGACACATAGAGAGCACATAAGACCCAGTTTGACAGGAATTTAGCATTTAGCATGCTATACCATGACAGTATATCAAAGACCCATCTCTCCTAGCAGCACCACACAGGCTGGGTATAATGTATTACCCTCAAACACCACACTGTCCTTTTTACGAGACTGTAACACGAGCTAGATCTATAACAAAAGCTAGATCAGCAACACCCACACAATTAATGTCAACATGCTCATTTTCTTAATGGAACCATTGTCATTAATTTTTTTTTCTTATATGCTGAGTGTTTTTTTTTTTAACTAAAACCAGTTTGCTTTGTACTGGTTTTTGTGTGACTGCCTGGCTACTCCCAGGAGGGGAAAGGATGGAAACTGGAAGTCAATGGGTAGAGCGATAAATTCACAGCTTGCGCTGACCGCAGCATTTCACAGATCTACCCCTCTGGAGTTCCAGTACAGATAGCCCTGCTTACATTCTCCTATGATGTATAGAGCCCCTCGTCGCCCCCTTCAGGGCAGGCCCAATCATCGCCGGCGACAGATCTCACTACCCACCATAAAGAGAGATCATGCACACAATTTATTTGGATTGAAAATCCAATTTAAATGCTAAGCAGACCATTGACATTGAACACCTGGCCTAAATTTGGGGCAAGCTGTCCACGAACACCCCCAGAATATGCCGAGTCAGTATTTAGATGAGTCCACTGGGACGCCCCCAGTCACTCCATCCAGTCTATAACTGCAACCTTCAGGCCTCAGACGGCGTGAAGGCCTCGCTTTCCCAGTGAGCGCTTCTCAGGCCTTTGTGCTATTTTAAACCAGCGTGACGCGGTTGAAGCGAGAAGTCGAGTCTGAGGGGGATTCGGCTGAGAGTCTGCACAGCCTTCTGCGTCACACAGGCAGCAGGGCTGAGACAGAGTAGCAGACGCCTTGCTGTGTTCAGGGTCAGTGGGATACGACCCCCCCCCTCTCAGCAACCGGGTCACCCCGGCTAAACTGAACGTCTTTTTGTTTCTGTAAAATAAATAACGTGAAAGAAAAAAAAATTCTGGTACAGCATTTCTACGAAAACCAGGATTATGGAATTCACGTATCCAGCGAGCAGTGCAAATCCTATATTATTGCCAAAATATTGTCCATGTCTAATCCTCTTATTCAGAGCTTTGCAGTCAGGAGACTGGCTGTCTTAATTTCCAGCTGTCCTTTAGCAATACATTTCAAAATGTGGGACTCTGGAGCTGGAGTCTGCAAAGTCACGGGCAGAAAGGAAGAGTGAAGGGAGAATTAAGATTCTTAAGAGTGAATCAGAAAGACATTTTTAAACCAGATTTAATTTTTCTTTTCAAGACAAAGATCTTAATATCATTGACTTTTTTATTGGATTCTATAGCTATTCTTTAGATGGGACAGAAACACGGTAGGGATGATCCGAGAGAACAATAGAGCTCCGAACAGCAGAGGATCCTACTGAGGAAAGAGTTAGGAGAGAAATGACGGCAGCTCTTAAAGTGCAAGCATAAGAAGGCAAATGGAGCAGGTTCAGAACAAGGCATAATATGGATCTGAGAACTGAGAATATTCTGGAACACTATGGGCTGAACAGAACTTAGGAGGCCCAGCAAAGGATCAAACGACCAAAGTTCAAATGAGGTCCACCACGCAGATACCAGACCAGGACAACAACCCCTGAAGGTCTTAACTCCCTCAAGTATTTTATCACATTTAATACGATTCCATTGTCGCTATTTATTTTTTGAATGTCTATCATTAAGTGCCAAAAAAAACACGAATGATCAAAAAACAACCAAACGAAACATACATTTAAGCGATAACACCCTGAAATCAGTACGGATATGAGTAAGCAGATACCTTTCATCATGAGAGCTAGAAGCCTGTTGCCGTATCGTGGCTGGAGGAACGTCAGCGTGAGACATTCTGACACAGCAAGGTTCGTCTGGCAGCTCCCTGGAGGGGGAGGGGGAGTCCCAGAACCCAGACATGCACCACCGGCTCCAGTGTTTCAGAAACACCCAGAGTGCTTAGCAACGGGCTGCTGCCTGATCCCCTCGATGCAGTGTGTTTCCGGCAGCCGTCTGATACAGCCATGCCTGGTACTTCATTACCACGTTTAGCAAACCGGCTGAGGAAAAAAATGTAAAAAAAAAAAAAAAAAAACATGACACAGCCTCAAAACATCACGAAGGCTTCGACGGGGACCGTGCCTCACTCTCTCTTCTCCGTCTGTTTCATGTGAAAACACATTGAGCGCATACATACACCAAGAGCAATTAAAATGGCACATCAAAACACCACCTGCCAAAAAAACTGGGACATAAATATATACCAACAGCCACGAACTGAGACCACCACACTAAGTGTATTCTGCAAACAATTTAATGTGGTGAGTTAAATACTTTCTAGTAACTCTGTAAGCTTCATAGAATAAACCTGTTTTGCACCAAGAATCCCACAATATCAGTTAGGTGTGTGCGCCAGAATGGTAATTAGTCAAATGAGACTCAAAATACTGACTTACTTTTAAGAGTTATACATTGCAGTTGCAGTATTCATGCATCTTCCAACTGCTTGTCTAGTTTGGGGTTGTAAGGGGTTTCTATTCAATCACAACACATTCAAGTACTGCTCTGTATTACATGTAAGTAACTGGGGGGGGGGGGGGGTTACAATAAGAGTGAAACCACTGTTTCATGGCCTTACGGAACATGGGTAAAGTTACACCAGTGTCAGACACCATTCCATCAGGGCCCTAACTGGATAAACTAACTAAGAAACTGGATGTATATCCATAGAAAATTAACTGCAAATAGGAGCAATCTATGTATTTGGTGAAGCAATTGATTAAACGTGCCCAAATACAAATGATCCCAGACAATAGTGACACTGCTAAAATATGGAAAAGAAATGAAATTGAACATAATCCTATTTAGTTGTCAAGCCAATGTACTCAGTGACATAATCAATTCTGAGATGGCTCTTCTGGCTGGTGCCATACAGATTCACAGAAGACCGTCAAGCTGGTTATGGCTTAGGGAAGGCGGCCGGACCTTGAAGTCCAGCTACGACAGCAGGGGACACGCGAGTAAGGAACCTGACGCAGAAGCGGATGTCTAGGTTTGATGTGAAGATCCAAGGTTTACTTCAAATGAGAGAAAACACCGAAGAATTTTTATATGGCACTATAAAAATAGGAAGTCCTTAATATAGCATTTTAAATTATAATAATATCTTAAGTGAGCTATTTATTTGCAGAACAGTTTACTTGTGCCCAAAAATAGCTAATTATTAGAATATTAAATTAAAAGTTCACTTTAATAAATTATCTAGAAAAAAAATACTTATAGTGATAAAATTACATCTATCAATCACACAAATGCACAAGCAGTGTCTGGTGATTGCTACATTAACTGAGTGACAGGAGCATGTAATATATTAGCTAATGTATCCTGTGTCCACAGACAGGACACCTGTGGCCTGCTAACAGGCCTTACGGAATGCTAATGTGCTAAAGCTAACCGGGTGACTATGAGACACCAAAGGGTCTTGTTGCATGCTAACGTGCTAATGCATGACAAGCTGCTAACGGCTGGCCCAGAGGTCTCCATATAAATCATGTCCTGGTAAGAGTACCACTAAGCATCCACATCACCACCCCTGGTGAGTGAAACTTGATCACACTGAGTCATATCAAAATGACTTCCTGGGGGTCTGTGTGCTGTCCTTGCAGCAGTGGCTGTGCACTGAGACATTCCTTGTGGATTGTGCTTCTTCCATCACAGGAAAATAACCTTTCTTAATTAATACAGTTAATAGCAGGTCATCCCACACTCTCAGAGCCTCCCTAAGTCACAGCTCACATCTCAGGAAAAGAACATCCTACTGGGACAGAACGTTCCATAATTATGCAACACCCTATAATGACAGGATGTCCCACACTGACAGCTTCTACTGTAACGGAACATCCCAAAACAGCTCAACACCTCACAGCAAGATAACATCCCTCAAAAACACCCAGCAATGACATAACACACTAACAAAATGCCACAAAAAAGCAAAATAAAACGTATTGTACTATATTTCAGCAGTTTATACCTCCGTAACAAGCAAATTGTTGTAATCTTATAGGTAACTGTAAAAGCATACTCCCCCTTCTGGTTAAAGTTGGAACAGCAAGGGTAAGCAAGTCCACGAGGACGGGGTCAAATGTAAAACGTCGGCGCTTCACTGTATCACACTTCTTACGTTTCCAACCGAACTGTTCCATGGGTTATAAAATATTCTCTCAAAGGGATGAATGACCAATAGGTATACGTGAATATTTGCATTTAAACATGGATATTCTACTAATTTTTCCATTTATCCTAGTACATCGTTTTCTTATCCCAATATTTAAACTTTAATTTCCAATGTAATAAAACAACATCTTTAGCAAGTAAGGAAAATGTAGTGTAGGGTTGTCGAGACTTTAAACATAACCTGAAAGAATATTGAAAAACTATACAATTATACTTGCAATTACATAATAATACGTATATTACAGTTACTGTACATTTTCGTCGTATTCAAAATATCCCCCTGTCGGTTTTACCTGCACACCTGATTTTTTTTATTATGAAACGTTTCACAAAATATTATTACGTTCCAAAAAAAAAAAAAACTCAAATTAGGGAATTCGTTCAAAGCGGATTTTTTGTGAATATAACTGCAACAAAATTAGTATTTAAAAGTTACTAATAATCCAACAGAAAAACCACAAATATTTATCTATTACATTTAGCATAATATAAACACTGATATAATTGTATTGCAACCAATAATGAAACGGAAAATTATTTTTTTCGGGTGAATAAACAAAACTAATGGGAAACGCACTGAGCGATCGTTCAACTTACAGAACCCAAATATTGCGCTTCAACTCACCTTGTTTAGACGATCCTTCGGCGCTGAATACACACGCTATCAAAACGACCACATACCAAATCATAGTACTATTGCCAACCCGCAAGAAACCTCTTCATATCTTAAAGTGTCCCGTTCGGCAGATATTTCATTGCCGAACCTCTTCGGCCATGGATCCCGGCGGCACCCTTTCACTCGTGCCCTGTCACCATCCCCTCCTATCCGTACGCTCTCTTCGTAGCCGAGCACTTGCACCGGAACGTCCCGAAAGCGGCCGCGCAGCTGTTGGCAAATCCCACTAAAACCATGCATGAGTATTTAGCGGCTGGGTCCGCCTCCGCTACACGCCCATTGGCCGGCAGGTGAGAATCGGGGGCGTGGTCCCCGGCTCTGGGGCTGTTCTGATTCAAGATCAGTTGAGGATGGGGTAGCCTTGAGAGCCGCAGTATCATGCGCAATAGCGAAGAGGCGGCGCGGCGCCTTAGCTGCGGCTCGGCCGGGTTTGCGTCGCAGGATCACGACAGTGGCCGATCGCCGGCAGTCAGCTGTTCGTCCGATAACTGTCGTCGCGCCGCGATGCATATTAACTCGTTTGCGTTCGTGGAGTCGTTTTGGCAACGCAGTCTTCCCATTTATAAACGACATTTAACTTTTCGGTTGTGCCCATATTTATATTCGCACCGCAAGCGCACTGGTCGCAGTCACTATTTAAAAAGAAGGAACAAGCACCGGCTTCTTGGTGCGGCACCGAACACAGCTGTCTAGGCTTCTTTGCCATTCCTTTACACTACGTAGCATCACCGGGTACCCTACGTCACTATTAGACATTACCTAGTTTCCAAACTTCTCATTAAAACCATTTAAATGATTTTATCAGTTGATGTAGAAATACTTTGTATCTTGATAAACATTTACACGTTTTCTACACTGCACTCATATATCACCTATAAACGCTACCAGGTATCAGTTTATTTTTAGCTACATTGTTTTCTAATTAGATTTTGTTCTGCGTGGTGTATTAGTCTATTTTATACTGAATGTTAAGCTGCTTTTCTTTCTATTACTTTTGCTATGAGATATATGGATATATATTGCAGGATTGGGATAAAGATTTTATGTACCTTTATTGTTATTTGTGGCCCGTACAATATGATAAACCACGCCTAAAGACAGCGAGACCGTCAAATCTATTGAACGCCGCTCTTAATAAGGAATGGCTCATTTAAAATGTTATATAACATCATAAATGTTATAAATGTATAATTATATTAATTGTTTTTAGTAGGCATTGCACCTTATATTTCTCGCTGCTGAGGACATTAAGAAAAACAGTTTGTCTAGTTACATTAGAACAAGTCCGCAGCTGTCACCTCATGACGCTAAGGTTTCCTTAGCCGGCCAATTAACGCAGTAAGGACGCATGTGAAATTCAGATGACGTCTGATAGGTTTCTCTACATCGTTTATTTTCTGGTATTTTAAAATGTCATGTAAATATTTCAGTTCTGCCAGTCGTGTTTTTCCACAGGAGGGTTGAGTTGCGGCACTTAATTGTGACAAAGTACATTTCTGGGGAAGAGCGTCGAGTCCTCGTCTTGGTCCTTTCTGCGCGTTTCTTAAGATAATGGAACCTTCTTGCGGAGTGTAAGGCGGACTGTCTTTTCTCTAATTAGAGTCTGATGTAAAGCAGAGTTTCACATGGCGTGGGCAGAGGTCACATAAAGAGTATTTATATCCCGAAATGGGTGTGGTCAAGATGGTAATGATAACATTTTTGTAGTGTTTCATCCTCTAGAGACAAGATTTTCGATTGTCATTGGTAGCCTCGATAATCTGAGCATAAATGAATATTTACCATCCCGCGCAGGGTGCTCCCGGCTCCAGGTAACCCGACATTGCATGAGCACTAATGAAATATGGTTGACTGGAAGGCGTTACGATTATTTTCCCTAACGTCTCCTTTGGTCACTTAAGGTAATTTATGATATAATCATTTCACCTGCTTGGTGGTATAGCATCCTAATGTGATTTCAAATATCAATCCATCAGAAATACAGTTCTTCCATTATACAAAACTGCTTAACAACGGTACAATAAGTGTGTAGGCTGTTTAAATTATAATCATATACTTCTATTATCCTATTAAGTCTTATAGAAGAGAAAGTCTTTAATGCACACAGTATTTGTTAAAAGAACTGAAATTCAGTAGCTTACATTGACTTTATGTTTAAATTTAGCTGTAAGAATCATCACTGCAATATGTGGGATTTAATTAAACCCCGGCTATTTCTGTCTCCACATCACTTAATACCCATCCAATAAAACCCACATGTATGTCTTTTAGTTTCTGTATGATGTTTTTAATATAGATAACATGTGTCATGACAAAAGCATATTGTGCCCTCGGCTGAATTTTGGAAGACTGTAGAATTCTGAAGCATTGCACTGTTCTTTGGATGGAAACCATACCTAGTGCTGTTTATAGCTGTTACAGTATATGTGAATGTCAGTGTGTGTGTGTGTGTGTGTGTGTGTTCTGTGGGGTTTCCAGTCCAGCAGAGAGGATTTCTTAGGCTAGAGATCATCATCATAACATGATTTCACAGAATGCCAGTGTAACAGGGATGACCTTTCTTAGGATGGTCACTGTACCAGGAGCAGAGGGCGTCATGGTAACAGAGACGGTGATTTTGGAGATGATGTCACTGTAAAACAGAGGATGTCTCACTAAGTATGCTCACTATAGGAGAATGGATGTCACATGGTCTTACTGTGACAAGAAGGATGTTACAGAAGTTTCCATCTTTCGTTTCTCTGAAAGATAGGATGTTATTTTGTGTCTGGGGTAACAGTGATGATGTAACAGAGAGGGTGTCTTAATGTGTCTGGCCAGTGTGTCAGAGAGGTTGTCTTAATGTGTCTAGTCAGTGTAACAGAGGGGATGTCTTAATGTGTCTGGTTATTGTAACAGAGAGGTTGTCTTAATGTGTCTAGTCAGTGTAACAGAGGGGATGTCTTAATGTGTCTTTGATAGTGTAACTGAAAGGATGTCTTAATGTGTCTGGTTACTGTAACAGAGAGGATGTCTTAATGTGTCTGGTTACTGTAACAGAGAGGATGTCTTAATGTGTCTGGTTACTGTAACAGAGAGGATGTCTTAATGTGTTTGGTCAGTGTAACAGACAGGAAACTAGATCTTATAGACTTGTAAGACTGTAAGCTTGAGATGGTACGGAAGCTGACCAGAACCGCTGAAACAGCACTGAATCCTTTTAGGTCATGGAGCGGCAGTTGATCGATATTTGGAGTCGTAGTTTTCAAACTGTCATGACAGTCAGTTTTGTAGTACAGCTATAGCGACTCCCTGATGAATGGCACTGCAACCCAGAGCCAGTGGCTTAGGAAACTGCCATTAATCCCAGCGTGACAAGACAAATTAACTCCAAGCCAGGAATCAGCTTCGCCGGCCTGATGGTTAATGATGACTTCTGATGCTATATTTGCCATTGCAAATGGATTATATTGTTTTACAATAAACCTTTTAAGAAGCAGTTCTTTTTTAGTCTCCTTAAGATAGGGCTGATTATAATGAAGTCTGGTGGCAACAATCCAGCATGTTCCCATAAAATGAAATAACGATCCTGTAAGACTGAGGTCTGCTTCTTCTCCCAGACCCTGCTGTCCAAACCTGCAGTCCGCCACTGCATTCTCCCCAGCCCAGCCCCCATTTTGTCTTCTTGCATGTCGTCCCTTGTGACGATCCCAAAACATCTATCTTCCTCCTTCTTTGTATTTGTAAATCCCGTTGCCCAAATATTTCCCAATTCTTCCTTTTCTTCCCAATGTAGGAAAATGGCACATTTCAGATGTATGTTTGTGCTGTGCCCCAACAAACCAGGCTGTTGGTTTACGGGGATGTAGAGACCGGCAGGTGTTCAGACTGATATGGGGACGATTTTGCCCTTTTCATACCATAACTGACTAATTTCATGGCACATAATTAGAGAGAGACCAATGACAGTTTGTTGAATAAGGGAAGATCTATATGAGCATCGTTCCCTTAATGCAAATCTCCAAATACATCTTTGTTTCAGTGTGTTGATAAACCTACTTCGCTGGTATCAGCCCAAATTTCAGCGTGTAAAGAGTCTGCAATGCTTTTCTCTTTGTACAGGTTTACTCCTGCAGTCCAAAAGCATGCAGTTCAGGTGAACTCCAACTTCTAAACTGCCCTTAACGTGTGAACATCTGTGTGTCCTGCAGTGGACTGGTAGCCCATCTGGAATGGTGCCCTGTGCTGCTTAGGTGAGGTTCACTGGGAGGTTGTGCTGGATAAGCAGTTATGGATGGATGAATGGATGGTTGGGTGTGGATCTCCTAGAGAGACCTGAAGGCCCTGCAGCCTGGATGTGACTCGTTCTCGTGGGTCAGCATGTTTGTCCCTTGCAAGTGCTGCAGGTTTTGATGCAAAGAAGGGCTAATTATCTTTCTGTGTCCTCCAAAGAACAATGCCTGTAGCATCATTTTATGTAGTACATCATCCCCGTCCAAGGTAGTCCTTATCTCTACTCAGTAGGTGGTGTTGTGGGACTTCAGGCATGAGATTCATGTGAGGTCTCCTTGATATATGACTGATAATTTGTTGAAAGACTCATTGATTTCCATCACACGCTGGTCAGCCTTATTAGTTAGCTGGGCCAGCTGCTGTCGTGTCCACAGTTTTATACGGTACTGGGGCCAACCCAAATCAATGGAGTGAAAGTGCGCTTAAGCCGTAATTGTGTAAATAGAGCTTTTTAATCTAGTGGCAGTGCATAACTAGGGAAATGTTGCTTTGGGGCTTTATGCAGGGCCATGTCTGGAAACGTTATTAAATATAGAGCTAAATCACTGTCATGTATATGGCTGAAACCATAGTAACATATTCTGCGGGGCCTGTGTAATATACCAGGCTGAAGCCTCTGCAATTGCCGGAGCTCCAGGGTGACATGCGATATGTTGCTGAAAGTATTATTCTTTAATATGTACTGCTGGCATGTTACTGAGGGCTATGATTCGAGCTGTATGTGCTGTCGTTTTAGGGTGGTGTATGCTGTTGGTTGGGTCCCTGTGATGGTCATTGCTATTGTTTATTATGGGTTAGAAGCAGACAATCTCCAAAAGCCCAGGATTGTCCCCCCTCCCCCCTGCACTGAAGAAAGCAGATCCATCCTGACCCTCCAACCCCCTGAGCTCTATTATGGTTTTAGATTAGTTGCTTTGTGTGTGTTGTACATACTCTGTGCGTGTGTGTGACTGTGTGCATGCTGTGTGTGTGTGCATGCATGCAATTTGCGTGTCTAGTATGCATACATGAAATGTGTGTTTCCGTGTGTGCGTGTGCAGTGTGTGTGTGTGGAGTGTATGTGTAATGTAGGCAGTGTGTCTGTCTGTGGGTGTAGTATGCATGCGCACAGTGTATGTATGTGAAATGTGTGTAGTGTGCATGTGTACAATGCGTGCATGCACTGTGTGTGTAGGTGTGTGTGTGTGCAGTGTGTGTGTCAATGTGTGTGTGCATGCATGCAGCATGTGTGTGTGCTGTGTATGTGCAGTGTGCGTGTGCTGTGTATGTGCAGTGTGCGTGTGTGCAGTGTGTGTGTCTGCGTGTGTGTGCAGTGTGCATGCATGCAGCGTGTGTGTGCTGTGTATGTGCAGTGTGCGTGTGCGCA